CCCCCCCCCACAAAAAAACAACAAAAACAAAACAACCCCACCCTGTTTCATTCAATTTTCTGTTGAAAACTGCCTCTACAATGTGATTCCTTTGTCATCGGCTAAATATTACTCGAGCACAAGCAACCAGTACCGCAGACTGAGAAGCAAGAAACTGCAATTTCAAAATGTCTGCAATTTTGGCGTAGATCAAGTATACAATCAAAATTTCTGGCGGACGTATTGTTGTATTTTTGCAATGGAAACGAGAAGAGAAACTGTCAACTTGCTCTAACAACGACCACCTGTTCACTAACGACCAGCTGTCCAAGACAATCACCTGTACAAACAACCACTTCCCACTTTCCCTCTTGCGTTATTTTTTCCCTAAACAATACAACGACACTGTCCACCTGTCCAAGACAATCGAAACAATGACACTGTTCAAGACGTTCACTGGTCTAAAACAACTATCGGTACCTTTTCCCACCAGAATGGGGGACCTGACCTGACCATCAATGATTTATTTATAGAGGCACCAGCCATCCATGTCCAGGTGCTGTTTTAGCCTAGAATGGGGGACCGTTTAATTGAGAAAATATCATCTCGTGGTTGTGCATCACTCACAACTACTGCTGGGGTCTGGTAGAATCTGAATTTCACGTCTCTTTCAATACTGCGCTCTTGTTTTATTTCATTTTATATTTTTGTACTGTGTCCCGATTTTTGGTCCTGATTTGTAAGTTACGTAAAAATGTGCTAACAATAATAACATGGTACAAGTTGTTACTCTTCAAGAAAAGGAAAACAAGAAAAAGAGCAGGTGATATTGATGATGATGATGATGATGATGATGATGATGATGATGATGATGATGATGATGATGATGATGATGATGATGATGATGATGATGAAATAACATTGTGTAGATATTTTCATCCCACAAGTTGGGACAGGGAGAAGACTGCCTAGGACAGAGTCAAGTGGCGAGCAGTTGTTTGCATGGGCGCAGGTATTTGGGAAAACAACCGAACTACTGTTGCTGAGCAGCACAGGTTGGCCTGGAAGAACACATCACATAACCCCCCCCCCCCCCATCTCCTTTGGGCTCCCTACTATTTCTGCAGCCTTTCTACTGCTACTCCTTGGCTCCTTACTGCTGTCTTTCAGCCACACCCTTGATCTTACGTAGGTAAGATCTGACACCTAACCTTCTCGGAAAAAGGCGAAAAAATCTCGGAGTTCCTGTGTGCTAGTTGTGCACGTTAAAGATCCCTTGGTGCTCCTAAAATCGATCAGATGGATAGGCTTCGCCGTCACCCAGGCAAAATTCAAAATAAGTTCCTACCGAATTATACATGTTTAAAGTGTCCCTCGCACTCGTATGACCTTATGCTGTTGTGTGGGCCGTAAAACGTTTACCAACATATAAAAAACCCAAACCAAAACAAACCAAAACATGGGAGCAGACTGCCTAAGACAGATTCGAGTAGCGAGCAGGGGTCTGATTCATGGACCGGACTTTGACCAAAGTCCGAGGCTATTTCAGTTGTCTCGGACTAAAACGCGATGTAAGCTATTTAAGGAGCTCGACTCTGCGAAGTCAAGGACTAAACGAGGGACTTAACTGGGTGAAATTTACACTCGCGATATAGCAAGCGTAGCTAGCGAAGCCTGGGTCTAAGTCTAAGTGCCAAAACAACGATATAGGCAGCGGAGAAATCGTCTTAACATTCGGCGATTCCACATTTTCAGAGATAGAATACACCATTTTGAGGTGTTCAGTGATACAAGAGTGTACATGTACCAGGGGTTTGATTCATGGATTGAGACTATTATAGTCCCGGACAATGACGAAGTCTGAGACTTCATAGTCCACGACTAAGGCAAGTCCAGGCCAACGAGAAATAAGCTATTCATAGAGTCAGACCTCACCTCTTACAACGAAGTCGCGGACTACGGGTGCGAAGTCTCAGACTAGAGAGGTCAAGCTATTGTTAATTGGTTTCTTTTTTCGCTGCGAATGCCAAGTAACACAGAAGTATTCATTTCTGTTTCGTGTTTGTTTTGAGTTTTGAATCAGTTTTGATCAATTTTCATCAGCCTTTCGACACATTTGGCTATGGAATCTGTCAAAAGGGTAAAGAAGCCGATTTTTTCGGATGAAGAGAAGACTGCACTGATGCTGGAGGAAACTTCAACGGAGGCAGCTAGCCTGTTGTCTGCCTTGCAGAACGGTGTGACAGTGGAGGGAAAAAAAGAGATTTGGGATAAAATAACCGTTAAAGTGAACGCCATAAGAGGGAACGGGAGAACGCAGGAGTTCATGATGATCCTGTCCCGAAGCACCTTTCCGCAGCTGTCCTTCCTCTTTCTGTTGCATCGCTAGGGTTGTTGTCTTCATCCATGTCATCATCAGACTCAGACTCAGAGCTGCTGGAAGTTGATTCAGATTCTGAAGAATCTGGAGGTGGTGGAGGAAGATGAGACCGCTTGGCTCTGTTGTGCAGCAGGAGGCAGGCAACAATGACCTTGCAAGCTTTCTTTGGTTTTAGCCGTAGACCTGCTCGCAAGCAATGAATGCTGTCTGGCCACGCCCATGCACCCCTCAATCGTTGCTCGAGTTGCGCAGTGTGAATAATTGTACTGCCTTACTTTGCGAGTACGGGGATATTCTAGAGGAGTGATCAGCCATTGACAGATCATGTACCCACTCTCCCCTAGGATGATCCCTTGAAGAGGCCTCTGGTTTCCTTCAAATGTCTCGAAAAGTGGTGACAGTCTGAGCACTCTGGGATCATGCACAGATCCAGGCCAATTTGCAACTACGTTGATGAATAGAAAGTCTGCATCATAAACCACCTGGAACAAAAGGTGCAGGTTTTTTTAAAGTACCAGGGCACTGCTGCACATTTGCAGTAACAAAAGCCTTGTCAATGGATCCTTCAGTAATGTAACCCATACCCAGAGAGAGAGGAAAAGAGAGAGTTAGAGAGAGAGAGAGAGAGAGAGAGAGAGGGAGAGAGAGAGAGACAGAGAGAGAGAGAGACAGAGAGAGAGACAGAGAGAGAGAGAAAGGGAGAGAGAGTTGGAGAGGGAGAGAGAGTTAGAAAGAGAGAGAGAGAGAGAGAGAGAGAGAGAGAGAGAGAGAGAGAGAGAGAGAGAGAGAGAGAGAGAGAGAGAGAGCACATTTAATCGAATGGTGATTTTTTCTGTTGGCGAACTCATGCTCCTGCTCGCTGTGTGCCTGGATGGGAACTTGTGTGCAGTCGATACACGCGAATGTGTTGAGAAACCTCCGGTGCCTACGTCGTTGTTTTGGCATTTAGACACAGACTACACTCGCTACGCCTGCTAGATCGCGAGTGTAAATCTCACCCGTTTAGTCCATCGTTTAATCCTTGACTTTCTCCACAGTCGGGCTGCATCATAGAGGTAACTCTATGGGCTGCATGAATAGCTTTCAACGAATTTTTGTCCCAGACAACTGAAATAGTCTCGGACTTCCGTCAAAGTCCCGGTCCATGAATCAGACCCCTGGTGTTTGCAAGGGCGCAGAGATTTGGGAAAAACAATCTAATTCCTGTAGCTGAGGAGCGCAGGTTGGCCAGAGAGAGAGCACAGCACATGTCTAACTTCCGCCCCCATCCCCTTTCTGCATTGTGACATAGCTTACCGAACCCAGAACAGCCTGAGCAGTTATCTGTGCACCCAACTCCAAGATGTCTAGATAGTATGTGTCGTCTCGACGCACGAACAACAACAACAACAACAACAACAACAACAACAACAACAACAACAACAACAACAACAATAACAACAACAAGAGCAACAAGAGCAACAACAACAACAACAACTACAACAACAATAACAGCAACAACAAAGCAATTCTTAAAATTTCAAATTCTAAAAGTGTATCTTTCCTGACTTTCCTCTCCGATTACATATCTATTGTTCGTTTATTTATTTTGTCCATCAAAGGACATTGTTAATCCCCCCCCCCCCCAAGCCTGACTCTGCCGAATGAAAAAAATAAATATTATGCAATGTTTGACCCATGATAAGAGATACTATGCATAACCTTACTCTTTCAAATGGACACTTTATTTAATTAATGAGTATTTATATGATGTAATGTGGGCCAATAGCCTTATATAAACATTGAATAAACTTACTACTAACTTAACTTAAACATAAAGAACAGGCCTAATGACAACAGTTTCACAGGGCAGACTACACCATGTCGTAGAGGTAAAAAGAATAAGAGAAGACCTCCTACATCTTACATTGAAAACGTAAGCCCCGAGAGTGGTAAACAACTTCATGAAATGTACATGCTATTATTGTACATGTACATGCCCGTCAACGTAGAGACCGGGGAAGATGTAGGTCTTTGGTAGCAAGTAGAGGAGGCATCGCTTTGACCACACAGATAGATCTAACGGATAAGAGAAACTGCTTCTGTATGGAAAGATAGAGGGAAAGAAGAGAAAGGGAAGACAAAGAACAACATAATGCAGAATTAACAACTTGCAACGAATAACACAAAGAGAAAAACCGAGCTGATCAAGATACAAACATCTCTATCTTAATTGTCCAGATCTCGAACAGAAGGATGAATGGGGTACGTGCCATGACCGCAATATCTGCTGCAGACCTGACACCCACCTAAAGGAGAAGAAGAAGAGAGGCATCAACGGACGGACTCGTCCCTGGTCACAGGTGACAAGTGACTCCGACATTTCTAACGAGGATCCTTGAAAACAGCCAAGACAAATTTCTCCCTGCTAATACATAAATATTGTCATTGCCATTCTAAGCTTCCAAATCTACGAGCATATTATGTCTATGTTCATCTTATGCACTAACGCCCTGTGGGGTGGGGCTTGCAGATTCAGCTTCATCTGGTTGTCTTCACCAAAAGGTTATTCTCTAACTAAAATCAAAACAAAATATTTCACAATTATTTTAAAAGGGACATAATAATGTAGTTCGATAAAAACGCGATACTCAACGAACATCGAAACTAAATTTCTGAAGCATATTAGCTCGAAAAGTGATCTGATTGGTCTGGGTGTCTACTACTGCTTACTACGTGTATAACTCTGTCCAATCAGGCACCCCTTCCGTCGGGGAGAATGAAATTTCATTGGATTGTCCCTTAAGCCACGGCGCTCAAGTTCCCATAGACTGAATATCAATGGGGTCTTGATTTTGCATGGCTCAAGGCCGAGACAAAAAACAACAACAACAGATGGATCTACGAGTATTAGACTCGATGGGCTGAAGTCGAGTGGCGAGCAGATGTTTTCCACGGTGCTGAGATTTGGACAAAACAACCGAACTGCTGCAGTTGAGGAGCGCAGGTTGGCCAAAGAGAGCACAGCACATGTCTAACTTACGCAACCATCCCATTTCTGCATTGTGACAGAGCTTACCGAGCGCAGAACAGCCTGACCAGTTATCTGTGCACCCAACTCCAAGATGTCTAGATTGTATTCGTTGTCTTGACACAAAACAACAACAACAACAACAACAACAACAACAACAACAACAACAACAACAACAACAACAACAACAACAACAACAACAACAGCATGGTGCATCTTTTATACATAATATGCCGAATTGAATGTACTATTTCATAAATTGATAATGTAAACTCTAAATTCTCTAACATTTTTTTCCTTCTTTGTGTTTGTTGGGGAAGCGTGATCTCTGTTTTTGTTTCTTTTTTTTTTTTAGTAAGAAGAAAAATAGGTCACACCTCAAGAGAGCTTGGCAAAAATGAAATCTATCGGCAAGGTCTGAAAGACCATCCAATTCACTTTCCAATAATATGTCCATCTGGAGCTGATAGATTATTGCAGGAGGCTTGAGGATCTGGAGGACCCCCGAGACACAAATGAAAAGGCAAAATATGCAAACTGTTGGGAGTTAACGTCCGTCTCCGCAAGGACCGAGCCAAATTTAATGGTAAATTTGTGTAAATTGTCTTACCCAAGGACAGAACGTCGGACCGAGCTGAGGCTGTTCCAACCCCCCGAACGCTAATCTCACGATTACGTGTCCAGTAGCCTAAACAATATCGACATCACCTTTTTGTACTATATAGTGATCCCTTGAGTACTGTGCCAAAGAAGTCATAATAGTACTTGGGGTCTCGGCTGCGACGTCACCCACGTAAACTCATTATGGCAGTGCAGGCCCACTCTGCTCGCTTTGTCTCCATTTTTGAGAGGATTAGAAACTGCGCAGCGTCCCTCGCAACGCCTAGGTCTTCATAAAGTTTGACGCTCAGCTTAGTTTTACTTAAATTTTCCTTTTTATTTGCTGTGTTAGTTTTATCATATAAATACAATAACACCCATTCTCCCATGAACCCCTGCTGTTGCTGTTGCGACATGCTGTTTGGCATCGGTTCCGCAAATGAGACAGAATACACCGGTCTTATTGGTGGGTAGTTACGTCTGGTTGGCTAATTTATATTCTCTCATCTCAACAACATCGACAGTGGTTCTTTTCCGTTTAGCCAGCCTTGAAGGTGTGCTAGAGTTGCAGCTAGAGCTTCTAGCAGCTTCTCAGTCACATTCCTGATTCCAGAGGGCCGATACGAGCGCTTTGTTAGCGGTACTAAATCTAGACACACAGTTTAAGCGACGCACAGTTAAAGATTTCAATGAAATTATGCTTTTTGTTTTAACGAATGATCATCAGGTCCTTCTCATTTATTTTTTTCTGAATTTTACTCACCCATATTTTCTCACTGTGTAAAAGGCCGTATTTGCATTATTTGGAGTTTATCTGGCTCAGTTGAATGTAAACAAAAACAAAAATCCCCATGAGTACATTTTGGCGATAGGCAAATCACACGAAAAAGAAGTCAACATCAAAAAACTTTGCAGAGTATCATTAATCCATGATTCAAAAGTGTTGCTGTGCTCCGACTGGCCTTTTATTGCTCTCCGGAATGGCGGCGCTCCCCTCAAGTTTGAAATTTGTGACGTCACAGCTAAGACCTCTAGTTCTATTTATAACCTCTTTGTATTGTGCTCATTAGTGTTCTGTATGTGGAGATCAGATAAACAATGAAGCAAACTACGCTGTTGCGTTGTACCAGTAGGAGTAAGTTGAGGTAGTTTGAAATTGGAATCTAATGTTTGATCTCCAACACAGCAACGCTTTAGTTCTTTATTACACGAAGCTAAGCTCACTGTCAAAAAGAGACTGGGGTTACATCAGACAGCAACATTTTGGAATTCTGTTGTGTATAGAAAGTAAAGAATATATTTTAATCATGAATGGTTAATCATGAAGGATGCACCGTTTGACTTAAAAGTCATAAGAAACTTAGCTCAACATTAAAACCGAAGGACACAAATCGTGTACTTATGTATGAAGACGCATAGGTGAGTCCATTTTCTTCCTTTCAAACGTTATAGTGCCACTAACAAGATTATAACACCTTTGAATCTGTTTGTATCTTCATGTTACTTTGTATATTATTATGTGTGTTTCAATGTCTTTTTTTTTATTCATTACGCATCCTTTATAATCTGAGTGATCTCAACGTTTGGTCACGGCAAGCCCCACCCTCTTTTCGACCCACATGACGCTACTAATGTTATGTGCTTTCAAAAATGCTGTTTGGGTTTCAAACCAGGGCCGCCCACGTCGTTCCCTAGCATGGTGATCACTCACTGCGTTAACGGCACGTCCGAAATATAATTTGCTCACACATTTTCAGCGGAATATTCACCCCAGTGGACGAATAAAAGTTGCCCATAGCAGGAGCTGTACCCACGGGAAAAACCGGACGGAACGTCTGGTCAGAGAGTAGCAACAATCAATACAAGCTGAATTAAGTTGGACTAAAGTAACCTATTGCAATATTAATTATCGTATGGTACTAACATTGTTTTAGAATTAAG